GAGGGTGCCTCTCGCGCCCGGCGTGCGGGGTGTCCATCGGCAGCGGCAGCCCCGTCCTCGCGATCAAGATGAAAAGTAAAAAAGGTAGTTGGTGAGAGAGGGGGTGTTTGTGTGAGAGGGGTCCCCGAGCCCCGTCCCGCTGCGTGGGGCGCCTTGCGCTTCCCCGCGGCAACGAGTTGGCTGCGGTGCGTGTACACGGGGGGTGACCCGGCGCCCCTTTCCCCTCTCCTCTCGCCTGTTGCCCCCCTTCCTCCCCCGCCGAGGGTGGCAGTTGTGCTGCACTCGCAGACAAAACACGCGGGGCCGTTGTTTGGACGCGGCCGCGTCTCCATGCCGCTGGCTCGCTGTCAACAACGTGCCCCGGCGCCCGCTTTGTGCCCACGGGAAGTTTTGTTTGCGCTGTCTCTGCGCAGCCCATGCCGCCCCCCCGTCTCCTAACACCCCTTCCCCCATTTATTATTTTTTTCGGGCCTCCTTTTTGCACCAAACTCCACCAGCCTGGTAACTTCGGGCGAAGGTGGGAGTTGTTTTCGCAACTTTTTTTTTTCTTTCTCATTTTAACTGAGAACAAAGTGGTGCCGGGACGGCCCTTTGTTCGGAGGCGGCGGCGGGCGCGCGCGTGCCCCTGTCCGGAGAGTTTTAAAACTCACTCGCAGCTCTCTTAGTAACGGCTGGCGCCGTTTTCTTTCCTCCTGCAAATAATTGAAATAATAGTAAAAAGAAATTCCACACAGTTGGAGTTGAGAGCAGTAGGGAGCCCCCCCCTCCCCACACACACACACACACAAAGAAGTTTACTAAGTTTTATTGCGTTGGCTTCCACGCAGCGCAGCTTTCCGTGCGGTTGGGGACTGTTACTCTTTCCTTGTGTGGGGCTTTGTGCGCCTCTAAGTGAGAGCTCGACCACAAAGACGCGCAACGTGCTTTCGGATTTAACGCATTCCCAATGAATTAGTCTGCCGGGGGAGGAGGAAGGGTAGAAAGCAACTTATAGGGAAGGGGTATCTCTTCAAGAGTTGTGATTTACCAACGTGCGTGGCGAGCGTTTTGCATTTGCAGACCACTCGGTTACCGGCGGGGGGGGGGGCGCGCGCGCGG